CATCTCACCCAAAATATACCACAATTTCTGCTATAAAGGAATAAATATTTATTTATAGGAAAGATCTGTAGGAAAATTGCTTCCTCAGAACAGCACTGCAGATCAAGTGTCCCCTCAGAGTTTGGACTGATGTTTTCAAGGGTCATCAGTGTCTGTATATGGCCCTCTTTCCTGTTCCTTTCTCCATTCCTTCTGGTCTGATGATGTTCTCCCGTGCTTTGATAAGGAAGGTCATGTAACAGAAGGGGCCAGGGTCCCTCAACCCCATCGCTTAAGCTGTTGCTCCATTACTGCATGCCAGAAAGACTGGGGAGGGAGCAGGTCTTTTAGCTGTACTCTTGTGCTGCCAGGGCAAAGCTGTGGCTTCATCATGTCCCTTTATACCACTTGTTGCTCTCCATGTATCTGCACTGTTGGAGTCTTAGTCCAAGGTGGAGGCAAAATGATAGCAGGAGAAACATAGTACTGTCTAATACTCAGAGTGATAGTCACAAAAAAAGAGGAGCTGTCTGTCTCCTTTAAGTGTCTGTAAATATACACTGAAGCCTCAAGTTGATATATTGTTCCTCTAGAGAGGCATACTGAGAAGAAATTGGGTTTCTTTGCCCTTTTGCAGAGCGTCTGGCATCTCCCTGAGTGACGACACATTTGTTGTCACCAACAACATGAAAATTCCTATGTGGAAGCATTTTTTTGCTTCTGTAGATACGAGTGCTTGGGTGAAATGAAGGGATCACAAAATAATAAGGAACGGGGCCATTACCAGCAAAACTCATTTGTTTTCTGCTGTCGAGCCTCGGCAGTGGAGGAAACAGTCATCTGTGTGCCCTAATGAAATGTGACAGACGTTTAGAGACTGAAGGCTGATATTTTCTGACAGCATCACCATCTGCACTCTGAAAGCTGCTAGTATCCGGACATCATAATCTGTTGTGGGCTGTTTATTATTTTACCTCAAAATCGCAGGTCACGCAGATCCTGCACTTATATGTCATCAGCTTTGTGTGCAGTCCCCTTCCCTCATCTGGGAGCCTAATTCTCAGTGTCTCACTGTGCTCTCTAGTTGGATGTTTAACTTTACAAATAAACTGATAGCCTAAGATGCAGATATTTGAAAGGGGGAAAAAAAAAAAAAAAGAAAGGAAGAAAAAGCCTTCTAGCCAGCCAGCAGGGAAAATAGATGTTAACCTAATTCTAACCAGGGCAGATGGAGTTATATAATCTGATTTCCAAGAGTAAGTGATTTTTCAAGGAACTAAGGTTTTAGTAAATATTATGAACAGCAGTTTTTGCAGCTTCAGAATTCTAATGTGGCAATAGTTTCTACAATTCTACACACAATGCAGGTACAGGGAAAAACATGAAAGAAAAAAAAATGCAGTAACAGGAGGGTTTACCTTAATCAAGAAAAAACATGTTGCTTCATATATACTGGAACATAGACAATAAAATATAGACTTCAGGATTGATGCAATTCTTTTTTAAAATCAATTTTCAGAACAAGGAAAAAAGTGCCCTTGAAAAAAAACTAGTGTAGGCTAATTGGAGAAAGAAAAAAAAAATGGAAAAACCCTAAAAACCCCAAACAGTGGGAGTTAACTTCACTTTGCAGACTTCAATATTTCCTTGCATTAGAAGGAAGAGGAGAAGAAACTGAATGTGCAAGCCAAGTTACTGAAGCAGATGTGCTCCTTTGGCCTGGACAAAAATGTTTTTTCTAGGTAAGATCCCCTGAAGAGTGGTCTTGAATTTTCAGCTTGTTTCCTAGAGTACCGAGTTTGCTTTTCTGCCTGGTAGTGAACATGGGCACTCAAGATCTTTTTTTATTTTGTTTTGGTTTGGGGTTTTTTGTTTGTTTGTTGGGGGGGTTGTGTGTTTGTTTTTGGGGGTTGTGTTTTTTAATTATTAAACAAATGAAACAGCAACACAATCTCACATAAGGAGGAATACTTCTGATCAGTTAAAATCCCAGTGCCTTCTGCAAAGTTCTATTCCCCAGAGCCTGGCTCTGGACATACTGCTTTCTTATTCACCCATCTCCTCTAAGTACAGTGATGAGCGAGCTGTCACCTGACTCAGGACTGATCTTTGAAGACATGTTTAGCAAACAGAAGGAAGAGTTTATATATCTCCTGAACTCAAAGAAGCTCTTGACTTCATGGCATCTGAATGTCTCAAATGCTGAGGAAAAATAGAGATTTCAAGCCCTGTGTTCTTTCAGCTAATTACCAGAAGGATGCATGCCATGGGGCTGATTTCACAGAATGAAATGTGTTGGAAAAGACCTCTGAGATCATCAAGTCCAAGCTTTGACTGATCACCACCTTGTCAACTAGAACATGGCATTAAGTGCCACATCCAATCATTTCTTGAATACGAAAAACTATAAACCTGAGCATGATGCAAGGACACACTGTGTCTTTGCACCTCTGGTATCTCAGATATCTGTTTTTGGACCTCCTGTCTGGAAGCAAATACATGAATACATGAAAATAAAGAAACACAAGGTCAAGAGAAGAGCCACAAAAGCATCACTGAGAGTGTAATTTTCCCAACCAGTGCAGCTCTGTCACTCCCTGCAGGTTTCAGTGACCTAAATAGAGGGGGACGACAAGACTCCTTGTTCCTGCTTATAGATTTAGCAAGTCTAATGCTCAGTAAAACAAAGGGGTTGTAGAAAAGTATCTATAATTCCAGGAAATATGATGGGAGGAAATATAAGATCTGATAAAAAGTTTTACTTAAGGTTACTGGGCTGCACACCTATAAACTTCTTCAGCTAGTGGAGAACCAAGATGCTCAGCAATGTAGATATTAGACCTGAAAGTCTCCTGTTCTACTATAGTGGGTAAAATACAAATCAGGTATGTGGTCAGCAGAAGTCAGCTAGAGCCAAAAACTGTGACAAGTCAGGACAAACTGTGTCCCAGGAGCAGGTTTTGTCCTGGAAGGAAATACTAAAGATCGCTGCTTTATGGGTAATCCCTTAGTAAGAGATAGCAGGGAAACACTGGCTAACAGAGTTGTCCTCCTTGGAAATAAATACTTCTGTGGGAAAGGGTCAATATCCCACCAATGAGGTAAAGAAGATTTATTATATTCACTCTCCCTGTTAGGAAGCAGATGGCTTTCATATTTCATCTTGTAGCTGAGGATTTTTAGAATGAGCTGTTTCATGGGAAAGAAATGAGGGGGAACAGCATTAGTAGGAGCTATGTTTACTAAGCAAATACAGGGCAAGGGCATCTACTACAGCAGCTGGAGACAGGGTATAAACCTTCTGGGATGCATGTGCACAGAGAAGAGCAGCTATTTGCTCCACAGGGCAGGAGCAAATACATCACCGTGTCAAAAGACACAATTCAAACTTTTCCATAGACACAAGAAGGTAGCACTTAAGTCTTCAGAACAATACCGTAGTGCTCATTTTCCACCTCATATAACAAAGCAAGCAATTACAGTCTTCACTAGCTGGTATTTCTAAATGGGGCTCAACTCTCAAAGCATTCGCGGAATATTTTCCTTAAAGCTACCAGGAGTGCCTTACTGTAACACTTTAGAGTCAGCTCAGTTCAGCTTTGAATAGCTGGGTTCAGTTTCCATCTTTCATAAGAGTTAATTTTCTCTCTTTCTGTACAAGTTGTACATTGAGCTACTGTCACGGTGTGTGTCAATGATTCACGATGATTTGCCCACATGGCCTTGGGCCTCCCGCTAGAGGAAACTTAGGGAAAAGAAACCTCACAAAATCCCCACCACAGCTAGAGCCCTCCACTCCCCAACAAACTTCCTTGCCTTTAGAACATCATTTGTTGTTGTTACTCACCTTTAGTAAACAGAAAGACAAAAGCCACACCACAATGTAACGTGTAACACCAGAGGGGTTCTAATCAAACCCACATGAAACATGAACTATTGTTGTTTTAGTGTTGAAACTAGCAAGCTCATATAACAAAATCCAAGCAGCAAGTCACTGGAGGAAAAGTTATTAGAAAAGAAAAGCTGCTTATGTTAATTAAACAAAAAAAAATCTGCTTGGCAGACAAGAACAGCTTAGAAGCAAATAGATTTAAAATATGTATCTATTTCTTGGTGTTCCGTGGAGCACTCAAACACCAGTATGCTAGTATGTGGGCTCATGCATTCAGTCTTAAGGATTAAAGAAATTGCTGGGCAAGTTGACTAAATCCAGAGAAGACACAGTGGTCTTTAAAAACGAAATCCCATGTGTGTCCCCCAGGTTTTGTGAATGAAGCTCTGGAAGTAGAGAATAGAGACCTTATTTCTACTTCTTTTGACACAGCAGGATACACACAAATTAAAAACTATTAGGCCTCAGAGACCCCCTTTGTTCTGGAAAACCCAAAATAGCGAAGAAGATTCTGCCAGAGCTAATCATGAGGCACCAAAAGCCTATGATGAGAAACCCCATCCATTAGAAACCAGGCTCCATCAGTACTGCTACTCACTCCTTCTTGAGTATCAGGTGACGAAGATATTTATCAACAACTTGAGTTTTCCTCCTCACTCCCACAACTCTTTTAACAACTTGATCCCTGTGTTGCAGAAACCCATTGAGAGAAATTAGGTTATGTCAAGAACCAGGTTTTCATTAATTTAATTTCTTTTCAGACCTGAGTGGATAACCAAGAGACTTAGGGTGAATTCCACATCCTTTCAAGTATTTATTCTTTCTCTTATCTTTTCCCCTACTCGAAATTAAACTTCTTTTAGAAAAGCCTTCAGTAATGGCACATTAATCCCTGCATTTGACATTAGCACCCATTTAAAGAACAACTGCATCATATTTCATGATAGTTACATTGAGAATAGTTACATAGCAATTTTATATACTTACCAATGTAGACAGACTACATTCTGAGACATTTAAAAAATATCACCAAAAACCAAAATAATCAGACACAACATGAGTAGAGACAGTAAGATTTTTAGTGTTTGTTTACTATTGAATAAATATTCAAGAATTTTCAACTCTTAAATATCATGACAAAATGCTTTTATTTTTCTGAAATGATAAAATTAATATGGCTGTTTCCAAGTCACAGTTGTTGGTTTTATTTATTTTAGAGCAGGGATTTCCAGTGTAACCACACAGAACCAAAAAACTTGAAGTACAGTGGCATTTAGAAATCTCTTACAACCTGCTGTGGCCACGTGAATTTCCATTTAAGCATTGCTGCTTGATTAACCTTACAAAGAACAGCACAAGTAAGGTAATAAAATTGTGATAATCAAACCAAATGAAAACATAGCAAACGTAGTGCAGAATAGCCGTGGAAACACAATTCTTCTGTTATTTTGGAGTTGTGGTAAATACAATTTCACATAGTTGTACAACCTTCTACTTACGACTATAAGTGCTAAAATTTGGTGAGTTTGTTTTAAATACCTATAGATACCATTTTGATTGTCTCGTACTTTTAAGATATGAATTATCGTGCTGAATAATGCATTCATTACTGCAAATCTTATGAGTACAGTTTGCCTCATGAGATTGTCTAGTGAATCTGAAAATTGCTTCCCCTCTTCTGACAGGAAAAACTAAAGACATGTAAGGTACTAAGAGTTTCTTTAGGAGTTCTATTTTATTTGTAGAAAGACCTACATCGCATCTGTAATAATTTCTAAAGTCCTTATTTTCTCCAGAAAATATAATCTGTCAGTGAAGATAATACCAAAAAATACCCGCTTTCATCATGTAGTAAGCATATAATGAAGCAAGGGTGAAGTTTACTTTTGTGCAGTTTTCTCACACGTGGTACAAACCTCAGGTGCATATTCTGGGTGCAAGTGGTGTTCAGAACATTGGTTGTCAGTAGGAAATACTAAATGTGTCCTGTAACTTAGGGGTGTATTACTCTAGATCGGAGACACATCATTTGGCTCTCAGGGAAAACTACATTATTTAAGCTGCAGTATTTGTTTGTCCTCAATAGGAGACCATAGAAAACTTCCTCAAGGCTTTGCTAGGCTTCCTACCATTTTTAGTTTTCCAAGATGTTGGACTTCTGATGGCATTGGCATTCTGGCAGTGGTGGACATGACTGTTAAATGGTTGAGTAATAGTGTGTCTAAAAGGACTAGGACAGTAAAGGGATATTGTATAACAGTATAGTGGGAGGAGTGGGAACAGGAGTGGAATAGGGTGATATAAAGTAGTATCAAAAGCCTGGACTCATTGGCTTTTGAAATGATTCTTTCTCTAAAATGATTAAGTAAAGAAAAGTTTACATACAAACAAGTTTTAAAATTACATGAAGATTATTAACATAATTACCAGGAATACAAAAAAAACCCCAAACACAAACACATTTCAAATTTACAGTGACAAAAAACATTAAAGGAGTAGCATAATTTCAAAGAAATTGATACGTTTGATATCTCTCCTTCCTGCAGCATTGTAGGTGAGTCCATCGTACACACCATTTTGCACCACAGAGTCTCTCCAAAAGGTTTGCCCTCTCTCACCACTGGACTTGCCCGCTTGTCAGACTCAGTATTGAACCTTTACTCATGATCAGTTTTCTTAGGCTCTCAGAAAGCAAAGATGCAAAGAGTGCTTAGAAAAGAGTTACCTCCCAACCAAAGGTGAACAGATGAAAAAGCTAATGGTAAAAAAATTACTGTTAAAACAAACACACACATACCTCAAGACCCAACCACTTTCACATTTCAAAATTTGCTTGGCTAAAAACATTCACCCAGTGTCTATAGAACTGAACCACCTGTGGTACTTGTAATCCAAGTCAGTTTTCATTATTAGGTGATTTGAAACAACTTTAATCATATTGAAATCTTTTAATTTTTAAGTGAAAGAAGATTCAGCTAAATTATTATCTTGTATGAGATGGTGCTGTTAAATTAAAAAAAAAAAAAAAAAGAAAAAGAGAGAAACCAGGCAAATTAAAAAACTTAATACTACAGTATGTGGTTATTTATGGCTAAGCCTCTGGCCATGATGAATCCAAAATTGTTTAACACAAGCAACAGGACACAGTAAGTAATAGCCAATTGCTTAACCCACAGTCTCTTTGAGAATCACATAGCTGACTAGAAAAGCAGTTCACAGTTTTGCAGAGCATCTGCTTCTCTATATTTCTCGGTGTATTACTACAGGAATTCAGCGAAGTAGAGCTACAAGCCATTTCTAGAATTAAATATACAGTTATTAATTTCAGATGTGTAATAGCGCAATCATCATTACAGAAAGGGAGCATAAAAGGGAAGGGGACATGTATTTAATTTGTATTTTCCGAAACATTGTGGATTGCTTCAGCTATATAGAGCACTTAAAAGGATAAGCTCTGTATTACCAGCTTAATGCAGTGCTATTTAAGGTGAATCTATGTTACAATTCCAAATATGTAAAGTCACTTTATGCACAGCAGGTGAGAAATATCTACCATGACAGAATTCAGACACAGTATATTTTCATCCTTCAAGATATTAATAAATTCAACCCCTTTTTTTTAAGACACTCCAGTCTTGTAAATAGAGCCCCAGCAAAGCTGCAAAACTGAAGAATATGTTGGCAAACTCCTTATCATTGCATCAGTTTCTTTTCTTTCAGTATCAAGAAAATTAAAAGGACTAGTTGAGGCACAAGTGATTTTTATGCAGAAGTATAGAAGTGTTTCAAATAAGTAGACTAAAACTTCAGTACTTATTTTAACTTCTTTAAAAAAAGACAGAGATCATAGGTGTATGATCACAGTAATAGATCACAGTTACTGCAGTCTTACTGGATTGCGCTTTTTTTTGTCCAAGATGAAAAAAGAAATTGGTTCACAGAACTTACCAAATCCACTTTATACTGCCATTTCACATAGCTCATGTCTAATCAAAGCAAAGTACAGACCCATGCTTCAAGGGAGTCTGAAATCATTCTGCTATACTCGACAGTAAACTATTTCTTCGGTGAAGACAACTTCAGTGAACCCAGTCACTCAAAGAAGAGTCCACCCAGCTGAAATGACATAATTGTTGCACGCAGAACTTAACATGAAAGTGAACTGACAACAAGCTTTTGAGAATAAGTTCATACCGTAAGAGTTTGTGCTTGAAACTACTTTTATAACTATGGTTATTGTTTCTGTTAATAGGCACTGCATAAATATGAAGTTATTCATCTAATGCACTTAATATTTCTCAGCTGAGGACTATTGCAGTTTTACCCTATGTCTAGGTATGATAATACTTTGGTTTGCTTTACAACAGTAGCATTGCACTAGCAATACAGCTGATACTAAAGAGAAGGCTGAAAACTGCAGACTGAAGGACTGAAAAAACCCAATCTGCTCCTTTACTTCCTTTCATGTTTCTTGGTTAGTTTTCCTCTTTCGAGCTGGAGGCTTGTACTGTTTGTTCGATTCTCCTTTTGCTGGCTCTCCTGGGAAACTTGCTGCAGTGCTCGGAGGATAGCAGTCTGCACAATCTGCTTGCTGGCGTTCTGCAGCTTAACTTCATCTTGCTCCGTCCCTGGCTTCTCACCTGCCAGAGCCAAACAAGAAAGAAAAGGAAGTAAGAACTTGGGACTACTCTGCAAAAAACATGAAGGAGAGAAAAAGAGAAGGGTAAAAAACCCCAATAAAACAACCAAACCACAGAGTGCTTGGGGATAGTTTATTACATGAGAAACATGCCAATACAGAAGATGAATTAGGGTGGAAAGTTCCTCTCTGTGCTCAGTGCTGCAGGACTAAAGGGAGAGACTGAGTCATACAGCTCAGTTATCCACTTCCCAGCTCTTGGGACAGCTGTGACTTCACAGCTGAAACAAGCACAGATACATTTTACGGTAAGACAGGAATGGAGGGTTTTCTCATCCATCTGTGAATCACATCCCTTTTGACTTGAGCTGTGTTTCTGGACAGGGAATTGGACTTCATTTTGCAAGCCTGACATGTACTTCACCATCATACAGAAAAAAAATCTGTTTCATTAACATATCTGTTTACTATTATTTCAGATTAAAAGCCCTCATCCATCAAATTCCAACTCACTTCAACATACAAAATTTTGTTAAGTGCAGTTTATTAATCCTTAGTTAGGTTTTCAAAAATATCTGCACATTAAAAAAGGCTCAGATTGCTATACATAAAACAGAAAACACTTTCTATAGCAATCTGACAAATACATATTTCTTATGTGAAACCTCCTTGTTCTGCCAGAAAGTTTAATCTGGAGAACAAAAAAGTAATATAGTGTGACTACTGACATGGTAATGAAGAAGAGTAGTTTATGTTAAGAGGTTTGTCTTTGAAAGTATTCTGATTCCTAACACAAATGACAATTCAGACAATAAAAAATGCTCCATAACGTTCAAAGTTATCTTGATTAAGAAAAACTATATTCTGAATAAAAGTGATTTACACCTATTGGCAATTAGGAACTCAGTTGCCAATTGAAATGCTTAGGCTGGGTGCTTATTTACATCAGTAGATTTCATTTTAAAGACACTGATCTCAGTTCTTTCTTACATGACCGATATGCTCAAGTATTTAATTTAATAGTATTTGTATATTACTGTCTTTTTTAATGACGGGTATTAAGAACTATGTCCTGAGAGAAATCAAACAAAGTGAATTAAAGGTCAGTTGCTTTTATGAGAGATCCATATCTGGAATTATGATAAATTCCCAATGTTCTTTCAGGATAAAAAGATAGAAACAGAATAAATATAGAAACAAATGGAGAATCACTTGTTTCCTTAAGGAATACAGTATTAAGACATGATATGCTTGAGGTCCTGCACCTGGGTCAAGGCAATGCGTGATATCAATGTAGACTGAATGAACTGGTGAATTTATTACGAGCAGCTTTCTGGAGAAGGACTTTGAGATAGCAGTAGACAAAATAGTGGAAATGAGATGGCCATGTCTGCTTGCAGCCCAGAAAGCCAGTTGTATGGTGGTCTATATAAAAGAAGTGTGGTCATCAGGGCAAGGGAGGTGATTCTACCCCTCTACTCTGCTCCCATGAGATTCTAGAGTACTGTGTTAAGGTCTGGGGTCCTCAGTACTGTAAAGACATGAACCTGTTGGAACATGCCCAGAGGAGGGCCATGAAGATGATCAGAGGGCTTAGATGACTCTCCTCTGAAGGCAAGCTGTGAAAGCTGGAGTTGTTCAGCCTGGAGAAGACCAGACTCCAGAGAGACCTTATTATGGCCTTTCAATAAATAAAAGGGACTTATAAGAAAACCGGAGATTTTTTACCAGGGCAGGTACAAAGCCTGAAAGGACAAGGAGCAATGGTTTTAAACTAAGAAGGTAAATTTATATTGGATATAAAGAAGAAATTTTTTATGATAAGGATGATGAGACACTGGGAACAAGCTTCCCAAAACAGGTGTGGATGCCTCATTCCTGAAAACATTCAAGATTTGGTTGGACAGGGCTTTAAGCAACCTCATGTAATGAAAGATGTCCCTGTCCATGGCAGAAGGACTAGATGATCTTTGAAGATGATCTTTGAAGCTTCTTTCTAACCCAAACTGTTCTCTCAGCCCAAAACAACCAGCTGCAAAACAATCAAAGTTTAATCTATGAGAAAGGACTAATTCCTTATCTCTCATCTTTCTCTGAAAGGACTTAAAACCAAATACTTATTTTTATCATGTTCACTTTATACATGTTGTATAATACAAATACAAAATACAAATGTTGCTTAATTCTATTAAAACTGAATAATTTTTTAAAAAATCCTTTGTGATGACAAAGTTTGTCTAAAATTAAGAGGTTAAAAAATGTGAAAACTTAGAAAATATGCTTTAAACTGGAAAAGCTGACTGAAAGGAATCACTTGAATTCTTGGTACAATCAGCTTTCCTGATTCAGTTTTTCCCACTCCTCAGCACTTGAAACAATGTTTTTTGGGATAAAATTCAATGTTACTTAACAGTAAAGTATAGATACTTCTTTATTACTCAAATATGAACTCACTTCTTATTACACAATTGTAAGGTGATAGAAATGAATGTCTTCTTGCAGAGTTGATCAGTCAACTCAGCTGATGTTCAGAAGATAATATATTAACAAAAGCATAGATAAACATGAAATTCTAAATACAGATGACTATGTTGTAATGGTCTATGAAATTATATGAAATGTGAAAAATTTACCAACCCCTAAAGCCATAAACCCCCAGAATTTATCACTGAAAACATACTGTCATTAAGTACATTGCTATTGAAAATTACTCAGTTTTCTTTCTTTAGGGATGATTTGGTCCTTGCCATTTAATCTACAAAATTTGAATTTTAAATGTTTTTACATGGGGAAAGTCATCCATAAGAATACCTGGCTGAAAAAAGGATATTTTTCCAGTGAATTTCTATCTGAGCTTTTCAGTTGTTTATTTTGGAGTAAAACCCATCCAAAAGCACTACTCAGATAAGTGAGATGTAGATTTCATCTGCTCATCTTTAGATTAGCAACTCTTTAGACGATTCTTTTATTTGCTAAGATAACCAAGAACAGAGAATCCAAAACACCTGGACTACTTCTGCCCTACCTCTGAGGGCTCAGATATGCACAGAAAGGAAATAAGGCAGTCCAAACAAACTTAGTTTGTATTTGTGTAACTTTTAGATAACAACAGTTAATTGGCTTTAGACGTGGAGAGAGCCAGAGGTGTTGAAGTGGAGGTAATGTGACCAATGAGACCAGCTTATGCTGACCATCTAAATTAGAAAGCAAGTGGAAATAATAGCTATTTTTAAGGGGGATATCTGACACTGTGTAGAGGTCCAAAACAATTATGTGCAGGAGCTGTACTGCCAACAAGAATCCAGACATGTTAAGCAGTCAAACCCAAACATCCAGCTCCCCTGTGCATGGTATTAATTACAGCTGGCCCATCTGGACATGATCCTGGGAAAATGGTTCTATATTACCCTACTTGAGTAGGAGTTGGACAAGATGACCTCCAGAGGTCCCTTCCAAACATGAATCTTCTGCTCTCCTGTGACTCAAGCTGGTTAGGCTGCCATAAACCCCAGTTTTTCTCTTGAAATGCTCTTGAAGAGCATTCCCACTACATTCCCTTCTTCCAATTACTCATTTCAAGGAAACCACTTGGCTAGCTGTTTCTGAGAAGCTCATTTATTTAATGATATGCTGGACCTACTCTGAGGAAGAAAAAAAGAATTGACTAAGGAAAGCAGAGATGACTCACGCAAGAATCCCAGAGAGGCTGAGCTGGAACATATCTACCTTCACCTTGCTGAAATACAGACTGCTGTGGACGTCAAAGCAGAAATTTGACTGCCTATAAAATTAATCAGGCATTTTGAGAACTGTGCCTTTTCAATCTGGTGAAACAGAGACATCACTCCTGCTGTCCAAGTATTTGGTGTTTTGGTAATCAAAATAACAGTTACTGGGGTGATAACACACAATTAATTTTTATCTAAGTTTTTTTAAGATTTGAAGAATAACTAGTTCAGCTAAAATTCCATGACAAATAGATCACTTGAAGTAACTGCTGGGGAAAATTTGAAGGATATCAGAAGCAGCATTCTGTCTACTAGTTATCCTTGTCTAAAGACTACTTTTTTTCTCTTGATGTCAGAAAATCTTTTCTATTTACTCTCTATCTCCAGATGCTCACCTGACACACAGGAACCCAGCACCTCAATTCTGTAAATAGAGAACTGAAATATCCAGGATAAGCCATGTTAAATGCAAAGCAGCAATTTATCATTAACACATGAAAAAGTCTCTTTAGCATGTTTTTATTACCTTATCTTTCACTTGGTAAATTTTAAGCCAACTAACACAGAAGATGAAAATTAACTCTCAATCTCCGGTCTAGTTCTGCAATCTAAAGTATAGTTTAAGAGATCCAAAAAACCCTCAAAATCTTGGACTGGATACAGGAATCAGCCACATATTCCACTTCCAGCTAAAACTAGTACCATAGATCAGTGGCTTGAAATTCCTTTAGCTTGCTTGAGGATGTTCCCCAAGAAGGAAAACATGTTAGCAGTTTGGAAAAAGAATAAAAGTATTTGAAGTAAATTCCAAGTATTCATTTCAATTAATAGAACTAATATTAGTTTAAGTCCAAAAACATCTTGTGTGGGAGACTTTACATCCTCTGTGATGTTTCTAGACTATGGAATACCCAGAGAAAGGTATACATGGAAAAAAATAGCTAGAGGGAAAAAAACATTTGGTAGAACTTCACTGTGGTTGCACACAAGCCTTTTCTCATTTATACAGTTCACTTTCTTCAAAGCATCCCGAGTCATTTCCTTTCCAGCCTGCAAAATAGTCTCCTACACTTTCTGTTGATGTCCCCCGTGTTTTTTCCCTTTCAGCTTGCTACAAATTTATTACACCTTATAAACACTCCTACTAAGTAACACTCAACAACGGGTAATTTGTTTGAATCAGCATCTAAGTTGTCTACTGTAGCTTTTCATGGGATTGTTTGGAATATTATCATGAAACCAAACTACCATAGGTATGACCTTGCAAAGATGC